GGGACCGATCCGCCGCCGCCGGGGAACGGGCCTCTGGGGCGGGGGGTTCCCCGCCCCCCGGGGGGACTTGGGAAGCCTACACTGGTCCCTCCCTGCCCCAAACCCGACCCTCCTCAGGCTCCACCCCCAAAATCTCCAGGTGTTTCCCAACCCAGAGCTGGCAAACATTCCCCCCCTCTCCCTCCCCCCAACAGCATTCTCTTTTTCCCCACGAATGCGCTCTTTTGACCTCTGAAGAAGGCCTGATTGGGCCGAAATACGTTAGGTCACAATCATTGTTCCTTCTCTACGTGTCATTTGTATTTGTTAACGTGGCTTTCATCGGGCCCTTATATGTTTTTTTTTAACTTTTCTCAAAATAAATACATGTATTTTTACTTATGGTAAGTTTATATGAGATTTGGGGGTGGAACCTGGGGAGGGTAGAATTTGGGGAAGGGAAGGTGCTCAGCAAGGGTGTGATGTCTCTCTAGGACTTCAGTTTCTCTTAGACGATGGTATACCATAGAGTCTGCCCTCCAAAGCTGCCATTTCCTTCAGGAGAACTGACCTCTGGAGTCTGGAGATCAGTGATAATTCTGGGAGACCTCCAGGCCCTCCCTAGAGTTTGGCACCCTTGGTGGGGACAGGGAGTGGATAGAGACGGGCCCCCAGCAGTGCTTTGTCCCCCTCCCCTCTTTGATTCAGGATCCTCGACTTGAGGCTTGAAGAGCCAAGGGGCCTGTAGGCCTCAAGGCAGCCTTTCCCTTCCCATGCAAGAGTCGGGCCTTGCTGTAAATTTCCCTTCTGAGCCTACATTTCCCAGGCACCCTCGGAGCCTCAGGATTGGGCCTGCTGGGATTGGAGGGGGGGAAACGCAGGAGCCTATCACTGATGAGGGGGCAGAGCTTTGAGGGAGAGAGCACATATAAGGGAGGGAATTCACTCCCTGGAGCTGAAGGGGTAGCGAGGAAGGAGGTGGTCAGGTCAGGTACCGAAAAAGAAGCAGGAAGCTAGCCTGACAGTTGCATTAGCACCAGTGTGGTGTAGTGGTTACGAGTGTTGGGACTAGTATCCCAGGAGATCCGGGTTCGAGTCCCCATTTGTGCCAAAGAAGCTTGCTGGGTGACCTTGGACTAGTCACATTCTCAGCCTAACCTACCTCACAAGGTCGCTGTGAGGACAGGATGGAGGAGAGGAGACTGCTGTACACTGCTTTGGGTCCCCACTGAATAGAAAGGAGGGGTATAAGTGAATTAAGGAAATAAATTTGGGTCCTTGATGGTTTTCCGGCTGGATTCTTTTTCTTGAAAGTTTAGCTCTGTGCAGTTGTAGTGTACCCTGTCTTAATTCTGCTCCACTTTTCTCACTGTTCTCTTACTGGTAATAGCAATGGGTAAATAAATTGGGGCCACGGTGGCTCAGAGGTTAGCTCGGCAGTTCGAGACCCGAGTGCTGCAAGACGGAGTGAGCTCCCGTCTCCGGCACCAGCTCCTGCCAACCTAGCAGTTCGAAAGCAAGAAATTGCAAGTAGATAAATAGGTACCGCTTTGGCAGGAAGGTAACAGCATTTCGTGTGCCTTGGCGTCTAGTCATGCTGGCCACATGACCATAGAAAAAGTCTTCAGACAGCGCTTGCTCTTCGGCTTGGAAACGGAGATGAACACCGCCTCCTAGAGTCGGATTCGACTGGCTTTCGAGCAAGGGAAACCTTTACCTTTCCTAAATAAATTAGTCCTTTCCATTCACTCGCCCTGGGTCCTTCATGCCTTGTATCCGCACTTGGGGCACACCCAAGGCAAAGGAGGAGTTGCAGGGAGGGCGGGTGAGAAGGGTGCTCTGGGCCCTTCCCAGTGAGGACAAAGAAGAGTTGGTTTTTATACCCCGCTCTTCATTACCCGAAGGAGTCTTGGAGTGGCTTACCATCACCTTCCCTTCCTCTCCCCACAACAGACACCCTGTGGAGTAGGTGGGGCTGAGAGAAGCTCTGAGAGAAACAGCTCTTGAGAGAACGGCTCTGAGAGAACTTGTGACTGGACCAAGGTCACCCAGCTAGCTTCTTTGTGGGGGAGTGGGAAATCAAACCCAGTTCTCCGGGTTAGAGTCCGCCGCTCCTAACCACTACAGCCAAGGTGCTTGCTTGCTTTGGGGCTGAAGGGGGAAGGAAGAGCTGTGTGCGGCAGGAGGGCTTCTCGGAAAGGACATCCTGTCCGCAACAAAACCACAATCGGGGGCCCAGCCCTTCCCTGGAAACTGGAGAGACCGGAGGAGAGAGGTGAAAGAAAAATGGCCTCTGTCTGTGGCTCACAGGAGTCTCTTGAGTAAAGGTTTATGCTTTGCTGAACGAGGGGGACTTTAGTGGTGAAAAAAAGAATAAAGGAGATCTCCGAAACTTCACCTGCCTCCAACAGCTGGCAATCTTTCATTGCCAGTCCTCTGGCCAGTTAGCCCACAAGTAGCGGAAACTTTCCTTTTTTTAAAAAAAATCCTGTCTTCATCTTCTATCCTTCTTGCATGAGAGCCACTTTGGTGTAGTAGTTAGGAGTGGTTAGGAGCGCAGACTCTAATCTGGGAGAACCGGGTTTGATTCCCCACGCCTCCACGTGCAGCTGCTGGTGTGACCTTGGGTCAACCACAAGTTCTCTCGAAGCTGTTCTCTCAAGAGCCGTCCTCGAAAGAGCTCTCTCAGCCCCGCTTACCTCACAAGGTGTCTGTTGTGGGGAGGGGGAAGGGAAAGGAGGTTGTAAGCCGCTCTGAGACTCCTTCAGGTAGGGAAGGGGGGGGGTATAGATTTGATCTCTTCTTTTCGCACATAGCCCTGCTGTGACTCATAAATCGTCTTGCTCTTCCTCCAGTCTTCACAGACAACTGCAGCGTCCTGAGCGAAATCTGCGCCACCCTCGGCCGCCTGTCTGTCCGGAATGAGTTTTGCCAGGAGATAGTGGACCTCGGAGGCTTAAATTTCATGGTGGCATTGCTGGCCGATTGTATTGACCATCAGGTACCTCTCTGTGTGTCAGGATAAGAATCTAGGGGGTGAGGGTGAGACTAGGCCAAGGATCTTTACCTCAAGCCCTATCTGAGGGCTTCTGGAACCAGCTCGTGCATGCTTATATACCCCGTATGGCACGTGACATCCCCGGTCAGGGCTTTGTGCCCAGATTTTGTTAGGAAGCTGCTGGTTTTCCCAAAAGGGTTCCTTGCATTGTCTGACCGCTCACCCTTCCAGCTGAGAAATCGGCACAGGGGAAAAAGGGAGAGTTACCCCCCACCCCCACCCACGCTCTGTAACACTGATTCTTCTCATGCCCACATAGCCGTGGCTGCTTTTTGTGGCTCAACCGCACTGGGGATTTCCCAGTTCCATCTGTAGCAAATGGCCTGGATGATTTCAAAGTGACAGGGGAACATCAGAGGAGCCCCACTGGGTCAGGCTGAAGGCAATTCGTATACCCAGGGCTCTTTTTGGGCGGGAACGCACAGGAGCGGAGTTCCGGCTGGCTTCAGAGTTGGCCACGCCCACTACAGCCAGATCCTCTGCGTGCCTGGCTACAGAGGGAAGGCCTGGAGAGCAACACCACCACCCCCGGCAACTCCGAGGTGAGCGGGCCAGGGCCCCCCTGAAAGGATCGGGGAGGCATTTAAATGCCTCCCTGTGCCTTCCCCGTCCTGTCCAAGGGCCAGCTTGCCCAGGCTCCCCGCAACCTGGGGCGCCCGGGCAAGCCAAGGGAAAGCATGGGGTGTGGCCTAATATGCTAATGAACTGTGCTTTTATGGGGTGTGGCCTAATATGCTAATGTGTTTCTTCTGCTGTTGGGTGTGGCCTATTATGCTAATGAGTTCCTGCTGGGCTTTTTCTACCAAAAAAGCCCTGTATACAACGTAGACTGGCCCTGAACACGGAGGCCCCCCTTTACCCATTGATAAGCCGTTTGGTGTAGTGGTTAAGTGCGCGGACTCTAATCTGGGAGAACCGGGTTTGATTCCCCATTCCTCCACTCGCAGCTGCTGGATGACCTTGGGCAAGCCATAGTTCTGACAAGAGCTGTCCTTGAAAAAGAGCAGTTTCTGTCAGAGCTCTCTCAGCCCCACCTACCTCACGGGGTGTCTGCTGTGGGGAGGGGAGAAAGGAGTTTGTAAGCTGCTCTGAGACTCCTTCAGGTAGTGAAGGGTGGAGTATAAATCCAATCTCTTCTTCTTTTCTTTTTGTTCTCTTCATGAATTTGCCTTATCCCCTTTTCAAGCTGCCCTGTCTAATTTCTGATGTTTCTATTGCCGTTCATTTTACCTGCTGCCAGTCTGTTTGGTTGGATGAAGTGTTCTTTTTTGTTTGTTTTTTTAGCCCCCGGAGGGGATTTTTTAATTTATTTTTTTAACACTACAAAAAACTACAACAGAAAAGGGGGAGGGGAAAACTACATATAAGGGAGAAAGTAAAGAACCCACTACTGACTAAAAACCCAAGAGAGGAGATCCTCTAACTAGCTTTTTTATTTCTCATCCAAGCTTATCATCTTTGTACTTCTTATGAACTGTGTCAATCTTTTAGAACGTTTAACCCTCCCCATTTACATTTAATTGCCCAATACCAGTGCCCCCCATCATCCCCAGCTGCTCCTTTAGAAATTCTTGAGCTTTAAGAACAGAGTCAATCTTAACCTTCTTCTCTTTGATCTTAAATGCTACTCCTTCTGAAAATAGCCATTTGTATCCAATTGAATTTGTTTGGAGGAAGAGCACAAGTTCTTTGTATTTCTTTCTCTGTTGCCTTACTTCAAATGGAATATCTTTTAGTGTTCTGACCGCATTCTCCCCCACCTTCAGGGGTGTCACAGCCACTGCTTTCAGGATAGCATCCCTGATGTGCCTCTTCAAGAATCTTACTACCATTTCCCCAGGCAGATTATTTTTCTTTATATATCCTGAATATGACCTGTAGGCCACATCCATGTCGTTGAGTAACAATTCCGCCTTTATATCTGTTGCTGGGGCGAGTAGCTCACTCATCAGTTCTTTAAGATTCTCTCCTCTATTCTCTGGCACCCCTTGGAAGTGCAGGACCATGTTGGCCTTATCCATTTGCACTTGCAGCATCTGATCTTCCAAAGAAACAGTTTTCTTTTCCAATTTTTGCACTTTCTTCCTCACTTTCTGCGTTATCTCAGCCATTTCCTTTACTTTCTCCGCATCCTGCTTCATTACTTGGATCAACTCCGTTATTTGCGTTTGTTGAGCAGTGATGCTTGTTGTTACAACTGCCAGCTGCTTTTGCTGCGCTGTTATATTTGCTGTTACCACCGACATCTGCTCTTTAAAGACATTGAGCTGTTCCCGTAGAGGGCGCATGACCTCAGCCATCGCCTTGGTCGTCTCACTGGTCGTTTCCGGTCTCGGGGACTCTGGTTTCATTTTTAAAAGTTTCTCTTTGTCTCTGTCCCTCTTCCCTGCCATCTTTTCCCTGTTTGTTGGCAATTATAGTCTCGTTCTATGATATTTTTGTCTGATAACTTGAAGTTTTTGCTTATTTTCTTAAATGTCGTTATGTTTTGATTTTTCAAGGTTTGAAACAAGTTTACTTCTTGCCCAGGTTTGAACCATGATTGATTTAAAAAGTGAGTCAATATAGATGGTTGAGGAGCTATTTTTGGCTTCCATTTGTCCCAGGTTTTGAAAGTATTATTCAAAAATATGTTATCTTTGATCGTTGGTGATCTTTGTTTGGGGAGTTCCCAACTGCTTTCTTGAAACGTTTGTTGACCTTAATAAAGATCTTCTAGTAATTTCCAATCCGCTTTATAGTTTTGGCTATAATGTTTAATAAAGCCTATTATGGTTGTAGTTTCATAGTACGTGGAAAGATCTGGAAGCGAAAGTCCTCCTTGGTGAGATAGTCGTCTTAAGGTTTCCGAGCTTATTCTATGTGCTGCTTTATTCCAAATATATTGAGAAAACAGTTTCTGCCATTGTTTAAGAAGTTTAAGTGGTATTATCATTGGGATGGCTCGGAATAGGTATAAAATTTGTGGAAAAATAAATGTCTTTAGTGTCTGTATTTTCTCTATCCATGTGGTTTTTAAAGTCTCTGAATATGCACGTAACTGTATAGCTCGATTGGGTGAGTACTTCTGGGCAATCACATGTTTATTCTTCCGCTCCCCCCCCCCCCTTTCGCTCAGTGATTTACGCATGGGAGGCGTCTGCTGTTCCGCGCATCGGGTAGGGAGCGTCTTTTCTTTTAAAAATCGTATCTCAGTTGACTCGCGTTCATAGTTGGTCTTCCGACCCTGCTACATTAATCTTTTCTGACGCCTGATCTCCTATGCTTGACCTAGCTAGCTTCACTTGTACCATTTGGTCTCTCGGCTGGACGAACCACTGGAGCAAGGGGGAGCCTCTATTCTCTGGCATTCAGCCATCGAAGAGGCTACCCCCTCAAAGCTCCTTGGCCAGGGACCCTTCGCCGGGCCCCTGGGGGGGTTAACGAGCCTGCTCACCCCCTCCCTCCGCCAGAGCACGGAGACACCCCCGGGAGGTCCGGGAGGTGAGTCCGTAAGCGTGCCGCCATCAGCCGGAAGTCCCCTGGACGAAGTGTTCTTCAACCGTGCCACCTCCGCTCCCACTGACTGAGCGCAGCTGACAGGAATTCTGTTACAGTCCAGTGCATTGGGGGGGAAAATACCTCCTTGGTCACTGTATTCTTCCAGAATCTTGAACCCTCTGCCATGCCCGCTTCACAAGGTTGCTAGGTCCTCCCTGGCCACCACGGATAGATGTAACACAGGAGAAAGTCAGGAGAAAAGGTATAACATTGAAAAAGCAAAAAGCTGTCGCGACAAAATTACTAATGTTCTTTCAGTTATGTTCAGTAAATTTCAGATATGAATAATTCATGCACAAAATTGGTCTTCATAAAGTCACATAATCCTATTACTGTCCCAATGCAAAGGTATGCCGCTACATACTGGGAAAGTCCCAAATGAAAATAATTACTCACAATCTCTGTGAAAAAAATCCGTATTCCATAAACCGTTCGGTAGGAAAAAAATCAATGGTCCTGGCGACGGGAAGTCGACTTGGAACACTGTTTTACTCCCAGTTTCCTCAAGGCCAGGACTCCAACATACCACTGTTTAAATAAAGATACAAGATTCCAAGATGTTCTCTCATCAGTCAGCCTTCACCTTCAAGTTTCGGCCACTGGCAGGAGTGTGGAGGGGTAGGGTTTCCGGCTCCAGGTTCAGAAATGCCTGGAGATTTGGAGGTGGAACCTGGGAAGGACAGGGACCTCGGTGGGCTACAATGCCATAGAGACAACCCTCCAGAGCATCCATTTTCTCCCGTGGAACTGATCTCTGTAGCCTGGAGGTGTGCTGTAATTCCAGGGGATCCCCAGGTTCCACCTGGAGGGTGGCATCCCTCCTCCAGACATGGTTGATTCCTCTTTTATGATTGAAAAGTGGCTTCCCTGGGCATCCTCTGTCTGAGGCCCCTTATCTAGTGGAGGTTTCTTTCTCCTTCCCTCGTAGGAGCTGGTGAAGCAAGTGCTGAGCGCCATCCGGGCCATTGCGGGCAACGATGACGTGAAGGACGCCATTGTCAATGCCGGAGGGACTGATATCATTGTGTTGGCCATGAGCCGCCACCTGGGGAGCCCTCAGGTAAGCCCGAGTGGGGGGTCTTACAGTGGAATCGTAATAAGATGGCTTTGGGACTCCTTCCCTGCGGTTTGCTCATCTTGTGCCAGTTTGGTGTAGTGGTTAGGAGCACGGACTCTAATCTGGGAGAGTCGGGTTTGATTCCCCACTCCTCCACATGCAGCTGCTGGTGTGACCTTGGGTCAGTCACAAGTTCTCTTGGAGCTGTTCTCTCAGGAGCAGTTCTCAAGAGAGCTCTCTCAGCCCCACCTACCTCACAGGGTGTCTGTTGTGGGGAGGGGAAGGGAAAGGAGATGGTAAGCCGCTCTGAGACTCCTTCAGGTAGTGAAGGGCGGGGTATAAATCCAATCTCTTGTTCTTCTCTTCTAATGTGAACATTTAAGCACTGGTTAAAGTCAGGTTTCCCCCCCCAATCTTGACTGCTTTGTATATCTTTTTAGTACAATTTCTTTTGCAACTTCTGGCCTTGGTTATTTTTTTTTTCTTTTATCTGCAGACCCGTCTCTCCTCTCTTTATCACATCCTTTATCCAAGGATCTTGGGGGCTGCCGACATGAACCCACATCTGTTGGCAGACTAATTAACACAGCACCAGTGCACGACCTGATTAAAAAGTAGATAAAAGTTTATTTAGGAATTAACATACTGGATAGGAAAGAGGAGAGACAGAGAGGTTCCCAACTACATCTCTAGCTGAGAGAGAGGAGAGACTGAGTGTGGCACTTTCAAGAAGAAGGGGGAAATTGCTCAAAGAGTAGCAATCTGGAGACAGGCAAGGAATGACCCTGAACAGGAGAGGGAAGGTGCTGTCCACATTATCCTATCGAATTGTCTTCTCGCTGCCCATTGCAGGGTCTTCTTCTCTTCTTATTTGCATACCAGACATTCCCTTTTCCAACAGCATCTCCCCCCGCCCCCCCCATGCTTGTCTGAAATACTAACCAATGTGCTAATTTATAATAATACTAGGAATAAGGCCCGTTGTGGAAATAAATACAACGAGATCTAGAAAGAGGCTCTGGGAGAGTGCTCTGGCTTTGGGCAAACAGTGTCAGTTTGCTGTGGTGACCTCAGCAGGGTATAATGACAGAGTCCACTGTTTTCTCCAGAGGAACTGATCTCTGCTACCTGAAGAGCAGTTGTAATTTTGAGTGATCTGTAGTCCTCACCTGGAGATTGGCAACAATTGTTACCCAGGATGAAATGGCTGGTTTGGAGGGTGGAGTCTATGGCATTCTACCTGTCTGAGGTCCCACCCCTCCGCAAACCCCACCCTCTCCAGGCTCCACCCCTCAAATCCCCAGGAATTTGCCAGCCTGGAGTTGGCAACCCCATCTCCTTCCCAGCTAACTATCAACCTACCATTATCTGCCCCTTTGACTTCAGCTGACGTCTGCCCTCTCTTCTGCAGAGCAGTTGTAATTCTGAGTGGTCTCCAGCCCTCACCTGGAGATTGGCAACAATGGTTCCCCATGAGGGACTGACTGGTTTGGAGGGTGGAGTCTATGGCATTGTACCTGTCTGAGGTCCCACCCCTCCTCAAACCTCACCCTCTTCAGGCTCCATCCCTCAAATCTCCAGGAATTTCCCATCTGATTGATGCAAAGGAGGACAATTCCTAAAGATTTTCCAGAACACTACTCTGTCGATACATTGCAACACTTTGAATTAGCACCAGAGCTTTAAGAGCTCTCCAGCTGTCACCTGGAGACTGGCAACAGCTTGTTTGGAGGGTGGGGAGTATGGCATTGTATCTGTCTGAGGTCCCCCTCTTCCTCCTCCTCAGACCCCACCCTCAGCAAACTTCTTCCATAAAATATCCTGGCAGTTTCCAACCTGGAGTTGGCAACCCTATGTCCTTTCCAGGCAACCATCAGCCTACCTTTATCTGCCTGTCTGTCTTCAGGTTTACATTCCCCCCCCCAGCCTCTGCCTAGGGAAAGGGCAGTCTTTCCCTGCAGTGGGAACCAAAGCAGCTGACATCATTCTCCTCTCCCCCGTATGATCCGCACAACTACCCTATGAGGTATGTTATGGTTGAAAGTGTGTGAATGGTCCATAATCCCCCAGGCAGCTTTTAAAACATGAACCTGGGACCTGCACACCATCCTCTGAAGCGCTCTCTGTGGCAGTAATGGGGTGACTGCTGGCACCTTTTCCTATCTTTTTTTGCCTTGTGGTATTCTGCTTGTGGTGTGATCTGTCTTCTTTGTGATGTGGCATGATTGTGTTATTGGGTTTGTTTCTTTTGAAGGGGAAGTGATGTGTTGTGAGTGAGGACATATTTTACCTCAGAATACAGTAGGTTCCATATGCAACTGACAATTCCAACTGTCTTGCGGGGGGGGGGGGGTTTGAGGTGTGGAATGGAGTGAAGTCCAATCAGCTTCCATATGCAAAAGACCTTGAAACGCTGGGCGGAACTGCACAAAGCAGCCAGTCAACCCAGTCAGCGTCTTCTGACTGACAGTTCTTGCGGCCAAACACTAAAGGTGTGCATTTGGAACGTTGGAGCCCACTACGGCTTTATATATAAGGGAGAGATAATAATAATAATATCTTTCGATGTATTGATCGCTCAGTCCTGCAGAGCTGCTGGCTCTGAGCGATTTACAGTTACACAAGTTTTTCACAAGGGACTAACAATGATTCATAGGGGGTAAGGGAGGACAACATATAATTCTTTAAATCGCACACGTTTGCAGCCGACGGGGATTTTGTTCAGCTGTAGACTTCAGACATGTTCCGGACGGCATTCACTTTAATTTTTGTATGAATTGGAAAAAAAAGTCTTTTCCTTTAAATTTATCATTTTAAATATGATTTGCCTAAAGAGCCCATCATTTAGTCTACATGGCTTTAAAGGGGGGGGGCCTAAAATAATACACTCCTGCCAACCTAGCAGGATTTGTTTACGATCATAGGAGCCAGTTTGGTGTAGTGGTTAAGTGCGCGGACTCTAATCTGGGAGAAATGGGTTTGATTCCCCACTCCTCCACTTGCAGCTGCTGGATGACCCTGGGCAAGCCATAGTTCTGTCAGAGCTGTTCTTGAAAAAGAGCAGTTTCTGTCAGAGCTCTCTCAGCCCCACCTGCCTCACATGGTGTATGTTGTGGGGAGGGGAAGGGAAAGGAGTTTGTAAGCTGCTCTGAGACACCTTTGGGTAGTGAAGAGCGAAGTATAAATCCAATCTCTTCTTCTTCTAGATCAGAATAAAACGTAGACATAAGCATACCTATCGTAAAAGTAAATATAAAAGGCTAATATAGTTATTTAAAATCATTATATACCTTGAAAATATCACCCTAAAGTAGAACAAGTCAATTTGCTGCTGTAAGTCTCTTGACGTATTCTATAAGCAGCCGCAAGGGATTTTCCACAGTTCATAATTATTTTGGAGTTCATCCCTTTCAGGAGACTCTCTGTGATTTCATTGTCTGAACCTCCAAGATAAGATCGTAACAAGGAGGCAACAAACTTCGCACGAATATCCACATACATATTACAGTGAAGTAGAATATGATCAACTGATAATAAGCAGTACATAACATAAATAATAATGTAACAGCACATACCATACAGTAAACTTCAAAAGACCTGTATATAATATTTTGTAGGGTTACATTATATGGGTATAACAAAAAAAACCAAACATCCGCCCCCTATACCAATAACATGGGAGTGGGAACTGACTGCTAAATATAGAAAGAGAAAAAAAACATTAACAATATCAATAATGCAATACAAATCCACATAACAAAGGAGTTAGGCTGCTATATTCAAATAATATTTATTTATTTATTAGATTTATATCCCGCCCTCCCCGCGAACAGACTCAGGGCGGCTCACAGTTTACGGCACCATGTGCCAAATCAGCATAAAACATTTAAAACAAGATAAAACAGTCATACATTAAATACAATTAGATACAAGTAAGTGCTCACAATAATGGTCATTCTTCAGTCAGTTTGAGGTGGCGTGCAGTAAGATGTGATACTAGGGTACCGATTCAGCGGTACTTCGGCCTCCCACGACACTGTGGCTCAATCTCATGGAGGGCCAACCTATCACCACGATGTTGATAATAATAATAGTTGGGCGGCTCCTAGTTGAAAGCCTGGTGGAAGAGCTCCGTCTTGCAGGCCCTGCGGAACTGTCAGTGGAGAGCAACTAAAGAGAAGATAATCCCCCCCCCACCACGTTACTGAACCCTTCAAGATTCTGGAACTTTACATCTATAAAGGGGGGGGGGGACCTTTATTGAGTGATAGTTTAAACTGTGCAGTTCGGAATTCTGGATTTGGCTAACTGTTTTCCCTCCTGTTTCCTCCAGGTGTGCGAACAGAGCTGCGCGGCCCTGTGCATGCTGGCCTTGCGCAAACCAGAGAACTGCCGTGTCATCATGGAAGGTGGGGGGGCTTTGGCGGCGTTGCAGGCCATGAAGATGCATCCCAGGGAAGTCACTGTTCAGGTACCGATGGGGGCGGTATTTGATCCGGGGGGCGGGGGGCATCCTCTCCAGCCGCTGGGCTTCTGTCCGCCCTGTGTCATGCAGAGGCAAGGAAAGACAGGTTCCGCCTTCCTCCCAAACGCCCATGTTTTTGACCTTATTGTCTTTTCTCACAGAGCCAACAAGCACTGTATAAATAACGCAGACCATTGAGTGCAAAAAGGTCATGCAAAGGAAAATTATATTGTAACAAAAGCAAAACTAATAACAATAACAAGGGACCACATGTATCAGTAAAGCAAGATTACATCATAAAATGTGCAAGTCCATACATAGTATACATAAGTTCACAAGTAGTTTCACAAGTAGTTGACGAAGACTCCGGGTTTTGATCTTCGTTTCGAGGGTTCTTCTTCAAAGAGTTCAAAGTACTGCATAAAGTACTGATAATGTACAGAAGACTTCAATCACATATATGTAGTAGGGAAAATCCTTCACAACAGCACTCATAAAGCACAGAAGCCTTCAGACTAATAGTACAGGAAAAATTCAGTCCTAATACTCATATAAAACCAGGCATCTGATCAATAGTGGAGCATGTTCTCAAATGGTCAGTAAGCCTCAAAAAAAAAAAAGAGAGAGAGAGAAGGCTTGGCGGGCCAAGCTTAGGCTTCGCCACCGGTGCCGGTTTTGAGGCTTACTGACCATCTGAGAACATGTTCCACTATTATTTTTTTTTAAAGAATATTTTTTATTGATTTTTCCCAGCAACCCACACCCCACAAAATATATGCTAATTTTACATATTTACACAGACGAGCATACACCCACAGTTTTTTTCTCTTAGTAAATTTCCAGTCTCTTCTTCACCCTTTCACTTTATTTTCCATTTGAACAATTTCTCCCTTTTTCCCCTAAATATCTCTTCATCCTTCCCTTTTAATGAATCCGACAATTTGTCCATTTCAGCGACCTCAAACCATTTTTGAATCACTTCCAGTTTACCTGGGATTTTCTCATTTTTCCAATATTTGGCATAACACATTCTGGCAGCTGTTATACAATGCAACAGTAAGTTCTTTCCACCTTTCCCCCCTATTTCGGGAAGAATATTTAACAAGAAGACCTCAGGTTTTAGTAAAATTGATACTCCCATAATTTCCTCTAGCATCTTGTTTATGTCAGATCTGGCCCTTATAACAAATGAGTTCGACACCCCTGGTTTAAACGTTTAGGTTGATCGATACAGAGGTGACTGTTTCTCTTGACAACGCCACGAAAAGGAAGCCAGAGCAGAACACCTGCAGATTTCTTGAGGGACAGTGTTCAGGAATTATGGAGCCACCATAAAGGGCCCTGCTCCAGTAACGAGCAATCCAGAGCTGGTCTTCATTAAGGTCTGGAGCCCGAAATGTTATGAAGAAAGGGCAAAGAGTATGGGGGAGGGAGAGGGTTGCCAGGTGGGGACCTGGTAATACTACATTTGAACAAGTCCTGTATAACTTTATTTAGCTGATCACTGAATGATGCCTGTGTATTATGGATTCCAGCTCCAGAAATTTAAGTATGAGGCATTGAGAAGTGCCAAAAATGAGCTCAAGAAGTGATTGTACTGGCCTGGGATTCTGTTTCAAAGCCTTTGTCAGAGTTTTTTTCCTCAGTGTTCCTCTAAATGTCCCAATTCTTCCATCAGAAAAATTGGGGGAAAGGCCTTGGGAGAAAACCAGTTGTTTCTGAAATGTTCTACTTCTTTATTTTTGCATCCTTACCCCAGTCCAGTCCTATACTGGCACTCTAACCCCTACCACACATGGGCATTAGAAGAGAGAAAAAAATTGGCTTTACTGTGTTGTTGTAAACCATTCTGAAGAATTTTTATGAGAGGGTTGCGGTATGTAAAAATTCTGAAGAAGAGGAGATTGGATTTATACCGCGCCCTTCACTACCCGAAGGAGTCTCAGGGCGGCTTACAATCGCCTTTCCCTTCCCCTCCCCACAACAAACACCCTGTGAGGTAGGTGGGGCCTGAGAGAGCTCTTTCGAGGCCTGCTCGTGAAGGAACAGCTCTAAAAGAACTTGTAACTAACCCAAGGTCACACCAGCAGCTGCATGTGGAGGAGTGGGGAATCAAACCCGGTTCTCCCAGTTAAATGGGTAATAAAGGGGATCGGATTACATTTGAGTGATGGCTGCAACCGTACTGTTGTTTCTCTCCTTCCCTGCAGAAACAAGCCTGCATGCTGATCCGTAACCTCGTCTCCCACAGCCGGGACTTTTCCCAGCCCATCTTGGAGATGGGAGCTGAGAACTTGATTACGGAGGCCCGGACGGCGCACAGGGACTGCGATGACGTGGCCAAAGCAGCCTTGCGTGACCTCGGCTGTAAGGTGGAGCTGCGGGAGCTCTGGACGGGCCAGAAGGGAGGCCTTGCACGCTGAGAAGCCAGTGTGGTCAAGCTGGCGAGACCTGCATAGTTCTCACAGGCTGAAGGGAATGCAGACTGACGTAAAGCTGGGCCATGTACTTAAGAGGGATGAGTGTGTTCATGTGCCCACTCCCGGCTTGTGGCAACCGGTAGGCCCACGTCAGTGCCAAGCGGGGTTTTGACTGTCTAGGCCAGAACATACAGTGCCGCAGCTGTATTCTTTTGGTCCCTCCTTCCTCCAGAGACAGGGCTGGCATTGCCATGTGGCCACCACACCGGATCCTTACAACCTTTAAGGGGGCAGAGCCTGCCAACTCATTCTACAAAGCTGGGCTGTAGTGAAAGGTGGGGTGGGGGTGGGCATGTCTGTCCATTTAGCACATGGCTGTAAGTTGGCCCCTGCCTGGACTGCAGAAGGTTGGTTTGTCCCTCGACTAGGCCTCTGTTACTACGGCAACTACTGCTATCCCATGCTGTAACTCTGTTTGCTCTTCAAATGTACTCCCCCGCTTTTCTCCTCTGAGCTCTTCCCTTGTGTCATCGCGATGTTGTTGAACAAAGGTGTGCGTGTCTACACGTGTGAGTCTGTTTTTGTCATTTCTCTTCGGCTTCTTCAGTCCCGCTGTAACCAGGCTAGGGCGAGGGGTGGGTGGAATGTCACTCAGGAGTGCCGAATCAGTTTCCAAGCAAGGAAAAAGAGCTCTCCGTCCCTTTTCCTGTGCTGCTGAAATCACTTTCTCGTCCTTCGTGTTAATGCTTCTGCAGTGGCTTCTCTTTTGTGGGAAGGAGGCACAAGCGCCTTTGCTCTAGATGGGGAAACGATAGCGCCAGCACCTTTTCCCATCTGCCTCTCTTCCTTCATGTTCACACCCTCATTCTGGATGGGAAAGGCACGTGACTCTTAACCTCTGCAGCATATGTGCAGGATGAGTTACAATATGGGATGATGATAGTGGAGGTTTCCTCTGGGAAAACAGAAGGAAGGTTTCCTCGCCTGTACCCTACAGCCCTGCTCTTAACAAAGTTTGAGTCCAGCGGCACCTTTAAGACCAAGGAAGTTTAATTCACGGTATAAGCTTTCGTGTGCAAGGGCACTTTATCAGATACGGTGCGCACGCGAAAGCTTATACTGTGAATAATATTTTGCTGGTCTTAAAGGTGCCGCTGGATATAAACTTTCTTCTGCTGCTGCTTCGGACCAAACCAGCTACCCCACCTGAGCCCTGCTCTGAAACACAGCAATTTTTATACAAGCTGCCATTTTATGACTGATAGTGCCAAAAGTGTGCAGGAAAATCTTTCTGCCCCCCAAGTGCCCCCGATGTTCAGATTTAGATATCCGCACACACTGGGGACCCTTGGCTATTAGTATATAGATATGGAACAGACATCCATCAGTGGCTCTTAGCCACAAGGTATAGATAGGAACTCTCAGGCTGGGGCAAGGGATGCTCTGTATTCTTGGTGCTTGGGGGGCGGGACAACAGTGGGAGGGCTCCTAGTGTCCTGGCTTCACTGGTGGACCTCCTGATGGCACCTGGTATTTTTGGCCACTGTGTGACAGAGTGTTGGACTAGATGGGCCATTGGCCTGATCCAACATTGGCTTCTCTTATGTTCTTATGTCTGGGGCAGTGATGCTCTGTATTCTTGGTGCTTGGGGGGGGGCAACAGTGGGAGGGCTTCTAGTGTCCTGGCCCACTGCTGGACCTCCTGATGGCACCTAGTATTTTTGGCCACTGTGTGACACAGAGTGTTGGACTGGATGGACCATTGGCCTGATCCAGCATTGGCTTCTCTCATGTTCTTATATCTCGACACTCCTGGTGAGTTTGGGGGAATGGCTTGACATCCAGCCCTTTACAGTACTGAAGTCCTTTTTCAGGGGAATTGTCATCTCTAACCCTTTCTGTGTTCGCGATATTGTTTCCAGACACCTTTTTTTTTTTAATAAAAAAGGGAACTAGCAGGAGGAGGGAAAAGACCCAAGAAAAGGCCTAGAGACACTGCATTGATGGCGAAGTCCTGCGTTTCAAGGCTAGCTAGCAGTCTCTGTGACAACTGTAGACTCATATAAATATACTTTCTATGCTCAGAGAAGGTGCCAAAGATCTCAAGAAACTGAAGAAGACCAGGCAGCTCTTGAGTTTTCTGAGCTTTACAAAAGTGACTAGATGAGGCCGAACCCAGAATCTCGAGCTCTGAAGACAAGGTGGCTAAAGCCCACGTACTAGAACATTTACAAAGGCAAGGGCATCGTTGAAAATCTAAATTTGATAGTGCAGAAAAAGAGACAGGTGTAACCTCGGGGCTAGTTGGACTTAGGGTTGCCAACTCCAGGTTGGGAAATCACTAGAGGAGAAGAAGAGGAGATTGGATTTATACCCTGCCCTTCATTACCCGAAGGAGTCGCAGAATGGCTTACAATCTCCTTTCCCTCCCCCTCCCCACAACAGACACCTTGTGAGGTAAAAGAAGAGATTGGATTTATACCCCACCCTTCACTACCCGAAGGAGTCGCAGAATGGCTTACAATCTCCTTTCCCTCCCCCCCCCCACAACAAACACCTTGTGAGGTAGGTGGGGCTGAGAGAGCCCTTTTGAGGGCTGCTTGTGAGAGAACAGCTCTGCAACAACTTGTGACTGACCCAAGGTCACACCAGCAGCTGCATGTGGAGTCGTGGGGAAATCAAACCTGGTTTTCCCAGATCAGAGTCCACACTTCTAACCACTACACCAAACAGGCTCTTTTGGGGGAGATTTGGGGGGTGGAGCTTCGAGAGGGTTGGGTTTGGGAGGCAGAGGGACCTCAGTGCCGTAGAATTCCATTTTGACACTGCCATGTTCCCCAGGGGAACTCATCTCTGCTGTCAGGAGATCAGCTGTTATTCCAGTAGGGTTGCCAAATCTGGATCGTCCGGGAGCGGGGGGCTCCTGGACGATCCCGGGTGTGTGCGCGCGCCATTTGAGGGGAAAACTCCTTGTTTTCCCCTCAAATCGCGTGGCCCCGCCCCCAGCGTGCGACGTCACTTCCAGGTGACGCGCACGCGGGGGTGGGGTTTCCCCCGGGCCCCGAAACGGGGGATTCCCCGCCCCCTGGCTGCATTTGGCAGCCCTATATTCCAGAGGATCATTAGGTCTCATCTGGAAGTTGGCAGCCCCAGTCAGAAGTCCCTAAATCAAGCATTTGGAATACTGTGTGCAGTTCTGGTCACCACCACACCTTAAAAAGGGTATTATAGCTTTGGGAAAAGTGCAGAAAAGGACAACTCGAATGATAAAAGGGTTGGAACACTTTCCCTATGAGGAAAGGTTGAGGCGCTTAGGGCTCTTTAGCTTGGAGAAAGGACGACGGGGGGGGGGGGGACATGGTCGAGGGTTATCACA